ATACATACGTAATTACCTAAAAATTCAATCTAAGACCGATATAATTAATAAATTATTATATGTGTCTTGACGGATAAAGTAAAAGCCATATACGAAGAAAGGTTAGTAATTAAGCAATGATCAATGGGCATCAAACAATTTTTAAAATTTAATTTCAATCATTTAAAAAGTAAATTATATAATTTCATATGTTTTATTATTGTTCTGAAGCTATATTCTTGTGGCATTTTTAAGTAATTACTATTTAAATGAGAATAAGCCACAATTTAAGGTTAAAGTAAGTTTATTGACGTCTCAATTTCCACTTCAGGAATCATTCTCAAAATACAAACAGTAGTAAATTAAACAAATTTTATTTCTTTCTTAATAAAGAAACAAAATTTGTTTAATTTACTACTGTTTGTATTTTGAGAGGGATTTCCGAAGTGGATATTAAAACGTCAATAAACGTACTTTCTTATCTTTCTTAATAAAGAAACAAAATTTGTTTAATTTACTACTGTTTGTATTTTGAGAAGGATTTCCGAAGTGGATATTAAAACGTCAATAAACGTACTTTAACCTTTAATTGTGGTTTATTCCCATTTAAATAGTAATTACGTATATTTTATGTTCCGTAAGAAAATTTGATTTTGTTCCGTTAAAAGCAAATGAAATGAATATAATATTTATGTATAATTTATTACACACAATAAAATTTATTTTATTAATGACATTTTTAATATAGAAATCGTTCAGTTTACTTTGTTATACTATAACTCTCCATATAATATAATCTCTCTCCTATGGCGCTACAGCCCACATTAGGCCCTGTTCTCTCCCAGCATCCTTCTTCAAGCACCCCTTTCCTCGGCTTTTCTTCTCCAGTTATCCACCCTCATTATCTCTTTAGCATCGGTTCTTACTTCGTCTATTCACCGCTTCCTTGGATTTTATATTGACCGACGTCCCATCATCGTTCCACTAAGCGTTCTAAGCTCCTACTAGGTGATCTATTATTATTCAAAAGCCCAAAATAAGAGGAAAAGAGTAACTACTAGGGAATATATCAAAGATACTTGATGTTTATGAAACTATGTTTTCATAAACCTAGACACTTCCTCTGTCAAACTAACCTAAAATAAATATAAAAAATAGAAGAGACATGGAAACCGTAGTAATAAGTTTAGACAAAAAGAAAAAGAAAATCAAATTAATAATGTCAATAATTTTACAACACAATACTCACAAGGGTAAGCCTGTTGAAGATACAACAACTTCATTGTTCTAATGATGTTTGTTATGTTAATTTTTAGTATGTTTTGAAAAAGAGTTAAATAAACTCGAATATACTACGGAACTACGGAATATAATATATCGTATTCATACAGTAAATTTATTATTTATTTTTATTCTAATAATTTTTGTTTAATTATGTGACGGATAATGTAGGTTTACCAACTAAACAAAGTTATGCACTTGCAAGAACATATTGTTATTAGAAAAATAAAGTTCCATTCAGACATGTCATTTAAAAAGTGTTTATGTTATCTAAATTACTGTTATGGACAAAGAAATATGTGCTACAGCCGCGATATCTGTGAATATCGTATGACCATAAAATTCCACCATTAAAATTAGGCAATAAGTTAAACACTGAGATTGCCAAATTTTTTTTTGCAAAACTTTGCAAAAACTTTAAATAACACTTTTAAGGATGATGATCTTTATTTGAGCTCAGATTAATTCTGTCGGGTTCAACTCGCAATGGTAAGGGGGAAGTCTCAAAATAGTAATGCCTTTAGCACGTGCCATTGTATCTACAACATGCTGGCGATATCTGTCACGATGCTATCTAATTACATTTATAAGCTCAGTCTTAACCATGTCCTCGGAAAATGGAATTCCTTTTTGTCTTAACTAACTCTGCATATTTGCTTTTCTGGTGGCCATAGTTGGCAAATGTTTTATTAATCGACTATGATAAGAAGCGTTATCCATCACTATTATGGAATTAGGCTCGACTCGTGAAAGAAGGGATTGAAACCTTTTTTCAAAACGTTGGACGTCCATGTCTTCATGGTAATCCCCCGTTTTTTTAGATAAAAAAATTAGTGCACTATCTTCTAAAAATCCACTCTCACTACCTATATGGGCTCAATTATTCGTTGCTCTTTACTCCTTGGTCCTCGTAACCCTGTTGATAAACCATCCACAAATGCTTGACAATAACTCGTTATAGTAGTATCTTGCCAGATCTTAGATATTGTGTGACCAGCATTTACCCACGTTTCGTCCAGATAATAAATCTTTTTGTGGGCAGAATGAACCTCTCTAAAAGAACGAAGATATCTTTTGGCAAGAATTTGGAAGACAGATTTACGGGATCTTTTGGCATACATACATTTTAAATCTTCTTTTGTTATTGTCCTTAACGTCTTTTTGCTCATTTTTGGAATCAGACCATTCTCCATTACCTTTGTCGTAATGGATTCGAGGGTTGGCGCTTTATTCTCAAAAAAGAAAGAATGAATAGTGGAGCGTACAAAATTTTTCTGGTACTCATCCAATTTAATTTTTTTTCTACCACGACAATGTACTTTTGGAGCTTGCACAATCCCAGTTAGCTTTTTTTCACGTACAATGCGTTCTATTGTCGACACGGATACTCCCGTTAAAAATAAACACTGAGCTAAAGCTTCTACTGTACGAAGTGTATTTTTAAATTTTTATACACTCTACAGACAATCTGCTTTTCTTCTACCGACATAAACTTTTTTACCGTTTTTTCTGTACATTGCTTGGACCCGCTACGTCATCCATCTTAATGCTCTAAAAAGAATAAACATCAATCATAATATTCTGCTATGTATTTGTTGTTTACTTACCACAAAAACTATTTTAAAATTAATAAATAATAATAAAGTCTATTTAAAAAATATATAAAAGTCACATGCACAAGAAACAGAACACACTCCGCCTCTGGACATATAAGAATGTGAAACGAATCAAATATATCATCTCATTACTATTTTTTCCAAGGACGTAAATATATAGCCAAGCGAAATGTTGATAAGTTTACCGATGTTTTAAAATATTTAACTGAACTGGTCCAACTATACGTTCGAAAAACGAACCGGTATGCACAATTTATATTGTTACGTGGGCAAATGTTATGATATTATTTCGTATATTTTACTTATTTACATTGTCGAAGCATACACAATAAAAACGACCCCGGTAAGATTTTACTCCCGATATTTAGCATTGTTGCCGTTAGCTCTCAGTTAAATTTGTAAATGAGACATTTACAAATTTAAATTAAATTTAATTTAAATCTTTAATTGAAATCTGTGTGACTATAGTCTTAAAATTTCATCCAATTTATTTGCTACCACTTTGGTTGTTAATTTTAGTATTGTGTTTAATAAATTAAATTCTCTGTAATTTTTCGGGTCCGATTTGTCTCCCTTTTTGAAGAGATGTATTAGGATGCTTGATCTCCATTCTTGAGAAATTCTGTTTTGTTTTATTATGTTTTGAATTAGTTTTAATAGTTGTTTTGTCAGATTTGGTCCTCCGTACTTTAGGAGTTCGTTCGGTTTTCTGTCCTTTCCTGGTAATTTTCTATTTTTTAAATCATGAATGTGTTGCTTGCGTGAGTCCATTTCAAATAGGTAATGAAATAATAAATAGTAATAACAGTTAAATAAATGCTGAATTGATAAAAACCCATATTATAATAATATGGGTTTTTATCATTTCAGCATTTATTTAACTTTGTATCCAGACCTGAAGATGCTTTGCATATTGTAGAAAGCGAAACTATCTGAATAGGTAAATTAAATTGATTGTGAGTAAGTCTTATTTATTATGTCTTTACCTATTTTTCTATTTTTTAATTTTCTTAATGCTTCCTTTACCTCTTCCTCCTCAATATTTATTTCTTCGTTTGTCGTCACCTCTGGTGTTGATGGTTCATCATCCTCAACTTTAGCAAACAGGAATCAAAAGTAACCTACCCATGTTTCCTTCTGAATATGTTTCGTTTTTATTAGTTCGTTCATCTGTTTTCTTTGTCGTCTGATCATTCTCGATAATCTCCATCCAATATGGAGAATGAGGAACATTTAAGGAGCCTTATTTAGCTTTATCTTTATAAGTGAAAAAAACTCACAATAGTAAATTGAGATTGCAAATCTGAAATTTAGTACATTTGTCACCTTGTCCAGGATTGTAAGCTGAGAGGATTTGATAAATATTTACTATTACACAATAGCCAGACACTTTGAGTACTTAGTATTTTAAGTACACTTAAATCTAATTTAAAACAAATTGTGACAAATTTTTACCACGTCGACCTTTCGTAAAATTTTCGTTTTTCTCAAATATAGGTTAAATCGTTGGTTGAGTTTAAATGAGAATAAAAATAGCTTACAATTTTAAAACATTTGTTCCACGTATAACAAATAGTTCCTCGACAACTCTGAAAACCTTTATGTTGAAGTACACAATACCCATAATTCCACGAATTTTTAAATACGATACAGCTTTATTAAACTATGCACTGCTTTATTAAATTTATACGAGAATTTTTTTACTTGTTTAAAACCTATCTTTTATTAAAGTTAACTATGTATTTCCTCAAACTTATTTCATTAAAAAAAATGTAATAAATTTTAAAATTTCAGTAATTACACAAATTTTAAGCATAAAGCCAGTAACACCTAATAGCTAAGTGCAACTTGCATCTATAATTCTTTAGCTCTCTACATTTTTCTACATTCCTTTGGCTGTAACGTATTTAAAATTAAATACAATAATAAATGAGTGACACAAAATAAATACGTACATCTTTCTGTAATACATCTTCTAAGAAACATATCTATAAATGCTGTCAAATAAATGTCACGCCCAAGATCTATCCATTATATTCTCGAAAGTTGTTTAACTGATCTTCTCCCCCTGAGATATCGTTTTACTGTATCCGTTTAATCATTAATAGAGTTTTTTTGTTATAGGCATTATCGATACGAACAAAAACTGGCGTGTTTACTTTGGAAGATTGACATGAAAGACGTTACCATAATCCCGACGGAAACAACCGAAATCGAAAGTCAAAATATGAAAATGGTATGTTTTTTATTAATAGAAATATTATATTTATATAACAATTTTATAGAAAATTTTATTTTTATATCAAGATTAAAGTAAGTATTGGAATTGTTTAACTGTATTGTAGTTCTTTTGAATATTATCATTGAGTAAGTCTATTTTTTTATAAGATATTTTTAAAAATTTTAATGAAACTAGCTGATATTGTTTTTAAGCAAGGTATATTATTAAAACTGGTAAAAATGAATTTCATAAAAAGCAATTACTCAAATTAGTTTGAGGTTACTGCTTTTTAGTGTAATATTTCTTCAACGGAGAGCACGGTGACAACAAAGATCACTCCGTTTTATTAACTTTATTAGTTAAGAACTTTCTTATAACATCATTAAGCTTAATTCTACATTTTTTTTTCTTGAAAAACAAATAATTAGTCAAAACAGATTATTACTTCTTAAAAAAACACGAAACCCACTTATTAAACATCATCAAACTCCGATCTCAAATCGGCGGCTGCATCATCGACTGAAAGGCTCTGCCAAAATTGTGTTCGATTTTCAGATATTAATGTAGCCAAGTTTTGCAAAACCGCTAGTTTACTATCTTCTGTAAGTCCTCTTGGTTTTGCAATGTGGGCAGGTTCTTTAAAGCTAGACTTAGTTAATTTTAATTTTAACAAATTTATTGTTTTTGTTTCATTGGAAATAAAATTTATTTTATAAAATAAATTAATGATACCTCGCTTAGCAACAACTTCAACCATTTCTTTTAGGTAGGGTCCTGGAGTTGTATGGTTAATTTTATAAATTGATGAGTTGTCAGGTCGCAAAAAGAAATTCTCCAGCTTAATTATTTTGGTCTCAATTTTTCCGGAATTAGCTGACTAAACGCAAAACCGAAAATTAGCGAATTTATACACCTGAAACTGCAAAAATTGTTTGTTCTGATAGTGAAAACTATCAGCAGGCATAAAGGAATAACCTAGTTCCAAATATCTGAATGTAATTTTCCATACTGCTAGATTAAAAGGGCTACTATTAGAATTGATAATGTATATAAAGTATGAGAACAGTAAAAATTTCTTGTTTTGGCCTGCACAGTTGTCAAGCCACATTATTATATGTTCTACATCATGCATGTACAACATAAATGTGAGAAATGTTCTTGTCAAGTCTTTTTTTTTCTTTCTAATATGCATTCATACCAGAAGCAAGCAGGATTTGATTTACTTTTTCTTTCCGTCAGCTACAAAGGTTTCGTTGAAAACTGTAATTCTTTGGAAAAACAACTTTTTTAAACATATCGATTCTGGACAACATAATCACGTTCTCCATGTTAGCTGAAATGCAAACTGTGCTTGATGGATAATCATATTCTGAATCAGCCTTGTACTTTACACGTACCTCCTTAGACTTTTCGATGTGTTTGTTCCAGAAGTTACAGTTACTGCAGTCCTCCGATAAGTATGTTCAGAATTGTCTCGCATAATTCGCACACTCTGCATACTTCAAATGGTGATCACTCGGAAGATTTTTCCCTCACAAAGGGATTGAAATATTTAACATGTTTTTGTATTAATTCCCTGTCTACTCAGGGTATTTTTGTATGTTTGTTTCTCCTGTTAAATAACAGTACGATATTCTTAAGGTATTTTTCGCCATAATATTTGTAATGATTTTGTCGTTCTTTGAATGATATCCTAGAATGCACAAAAAATTTTTTTGCTCACTTCGTGGGTTTATGACGACTTTAAAAAAATAAAGAAATTTCCTTTTTTCACATCATAAACTTCACAATTGTTGAAACAAAAATCCTCTTCTCTAACCAATTCATCGACCAATTCTGCTTGTTTATTGATAACCCTGCGCGATGATTCTTATTAAACAATGTTTTACATTTCCTATGCCGAACATTGCACCCAGGTTGAATACAGTGTATGTCTCGTTGATTCTGTGCCGGTTTTTTTTCTTTTATAATAACAATTGTATAAACCTTATAAAAAAGCAAATTAAAAAATTGCAAAAATTGGAAATACTAAATTTTTGCTTAGGACAGCAGTATAGTACAATGATAAACAAATATTTTAAATTTTATTCAAATCATTTTGATACAGCTCTTGGTAAAATATAGTAATTTGAAATAATTGACCTAGCTGACGCCTTTAACTCGCACCCGGCTTGGGACAGAAACTGTTGGGCTAGAGATAGGACAAGCAAAACAAATTGAAACTTAGGGCTTATTTGGAGGGCTGCAGTCGTGGATAAGTTGACTGGCAAGGGGTCGGATTGGGGATCATAATCTGCTGGAAAAATGGGCAAACAAAAACAACAAGAAAGTCTTTTAGCTATTTGAAATAAGGACTCCGCTGCCAAGGATCCTAGTCTTGCTGGATGAAGGAAAAAAGGTTCTTCCCTCCTAAAGAAAAACACAAGGGGGTGAGGAGATTTTTCTAAAGTAAATAAACAAAAATGATCTACAGATTTTTGTCTCAACACAAACACTTACAAAATACGCATGGCGCAAAAAATAATTACGATATAAATAGTTACAAAAGTAAATACAAAATAACAAAGAGTAACACTTACTATGTCCTATCCGTTTACAAGTGGGCATTGCTACAAAAATTACAAAAATAGTGACTGGACTATAAGCTACTGTGCTATAAACATGTGGCAGAAATAATGTATTACAAATAAAGAAATATCTTTAAAATGAAACTATTCGTAAAGGTTAACCAAGTTAACCAGGTTAATGTCACAGAAACAATAAAGCTGGCTGCTAGCTGTCAACATAAAATCTTACAACTCAACAAATAAAATGACAGTTAAGACCACGCTCTAAGATTTACAATAATAAATATCAAAATTTTAAATTGTATGAAAGCAATTACTGTTTTAATGTTTATTTCCCTTCAAAAGTTTAAAACAAAAAAGAGTTACCTTGGTTTTACCAAACACACTAAAATTCCTGGGGTTACCTTCTCTGCCACGCAAAAACTGCATCTCCAAACTGTGAAAAAAATATACTGAAACGGCTGCTTAGGACATCGAGGATTGAAATGGGTGGTACTAGATACAAACTTTATTCTGGACTTCTTAAAAAACCAGGAAACTGGAACATCAAAATTGCTGTAGGCGACACAAATCTCTATAATACTTAGAAACAGAAAATAGTGATTACTCTTCCAAATTTGACATATTACATAGAGTATATTTTACTCTTTTTAACAAATTTTGTCTTCCTTTATTGACTTACTAAATATGTCCGCTCATTCACATTACATATTTCAACCTAAACTTGAATTCATTCCCCTGACCTAATAGTGGCCGGCTACCTATGCCACCCTTTTCAAATCTAACCTGTTCTTGCAACCGGAACAACCCAAATTTCACAAACATATTCCAAAACGACCTTGAGTCAAACAGATTTTTATAATCGTAGAAATAAACACCTATAAAACAATAAAAGCATATTTTTCTTTTACATTAAAAATAAACAGGGAAATATTTATACTCAGGTCAGAGACGTACTAGAAATTTTTATACCTGAATAGTAGATAGTTTTTTCAACATGCTATAAGATGATGAAACATGTCGAGCTGACACAATGTCCCTTAATTCCATAATTTTAGTATGGCCAGCTTTAGTATGAAAAGCAGTTTGTATATTTCTTTGTCCCTAAATGAACCCGTATAGACTCCAGTTAAAGTATATGGAGAAAACAACCGCAATTTAATGTAAGTCATGTTTATTGTTTTTGTTAAAAGTACCTGTATCCTTTTAAATCGATTTATTTAAAAAATATATCAAAAATAACAAGAGACTTAAATGTCAGAACTTGATTGAAGACCACACATTAACTCTGATAACCAACAGTAAAGATATAGCAGAGACATGAAGATTATATTGTAGGAATCTATATAAAGATGATCAACACTATGAACTTGTTAACCAAAGCCCTGGAGAAATCCAAGAAGAACCTAATATAGTCGAGAATGAAATAAAACTGGCAACCATCAAACTCAAGTATAACAGAGCATTAGATCCAGATATAATAACATCAGAAATGTTTAAAGGCACAAAAGGAACCGGAATAAAAAGGCTTCACTTGCTCTGTGATAGAATATGGGATTTTAAGATAACTGATAACTGCCTGATAATAAATGCCACAACTATAGAAACATCTACCTTATCTCACATGTCAGCAAAATAATGCTACACATATTCAATGAAAGTCTGAAAACATCCCTGGAGAGAAAAATACCTCAAAAACAAACTGGATTTTCCAAAGGTAAACAAACTCAAGAACATCTGAACATAAGACAAATAATAGAATAATCGAGGGAGTTCAGTATAAAACTATAAATTTGTTTTATAGATTATTGCAAAGCTTTGAATAGGGTCAAATGGCAACACTAATGGCAGATACTAAAAGAAGTAAGCGTATTAAAAGACTTAATTTCGCTTATATCTGAACTGTACTAACACAATACTGGAACTGTTAAAGTGCTTGACACACTCTTAAACGAATTTTATCCAGAACAAGGTGTCAGACAAAGGAGTATATTTGTCTTTCTCCACGTAAGACGAAGAAATATAGTTCACCATATTATTACTGCAGAATAAATCTATAAAGGATCTTTATTAGAGAAAACTGGACCATTAGTTACAGGAAATCAGTTTTAGATACTTCAGAGAAATGTACAAGTAAAACAGGGTATAAAAGAAGGCATTAGAAGATTTGGGAGAACTCGAGAAGAGGAATATCCAAGACAAAGTAAAAATAAACGAAGAAACCAAAATAGGCATTAAAGAAAAGAAAATTATTTATATGAAAAGTATGAACAAAAACTTCACTTAAAATTTTGCCTCATATTCTTCTTCTTCTTGATGTGCCTATCCGTTACGAATATTGGCGATCATCATGACAATATTTATCTTATCTGCAGCAGCGCGGAAAAGCTGCACGGATGTTGTATTGAACCAGGTTCTGAGGTTTCTTAACCACGATGTTCTTCTTCTTCCTGTACCCCGCTTTTTAAATATTTTTCCTTGTAAGATGGCTTAAAGGAGAGCATATCTGGATTAATATCACATAA